AGACTGTGAGTTCTGTTCTACCGTATTTCTCCAACAATACAGCCTCCACCAATAGGAAGGCCCAGCATGATTTCTAAGCATGAGGTGAAATGAAGCCCCACCCCCAAAATTTAGGCCTATTTAAACCATGCATTTCCCCGCCATTTCTCACATCATTCGTCAGAACTACACAAGGTGAAGAGAAATGGGGGGGAAGGGGGGGGAGAAAACTTGCCTTTAGGAGTGCCCTGCAGGTAGCCTAGGCTAGAATACCCCGATCTACCGATAAAACATCAGCCGATAAAAGCTCCCCGAAGGCAGAGTCCCCAGCCGCTTCGGGGTGAGGCATGGCTACCCATGTCCCCTCGCCATTAGGCAGTGTCTTTCAGGTGATGGAAGCTCCCCGAGGGCTGTCACCAGCCACTTTGATCGGCCGATAGAAACAGCCTCACGGCGAGGGGAGTGTGCGTGTGCGCTCGCCCCGAGGCCGCTTCTACCGGCCGATCGAAGTGGCTGGTGACTGCCCTTGGGGAGCTTCCATCACCCGAAAGACACTGCCTAATGGCGAGGGGACACGGGCTGCCATGCTTCGCCCCGAAGCGGCTGGGGACTCTGCCTTCGGGGAGCTTTCCTTGGCCGATAGAAACGGCCTCGTGGAGAGGTACGTGCATATGGGCCGCTTTAGGTGGGGGAGGAAATTAAGTCACCCCTGAAAAGACGGCCTAGCTGTTTTTTCAGGGGTCAAAAAAAGATATTATTTTGTGAGAAACATGGTAGCAGTTGGTAAAATCAACACTGATCTGAAGTCATTTTAAAAAAGGCATTAAGCTCAAACATCCCATTAAGATTTATAATCAAATTATTAAATATAAGGAAACATATTCAGTATTAAAACATGCTTTACATAAAACAAAAATTAATATTGCTGTACATTATTGTGTTGTGTTCAGTGGCCTTGAAATTTTTAATAATGGTTAAGGGCAGGAGGTGCCAGAAGGTGTAACCGAGAGTGGTTTGTGTCCCTTAGTGACAAGTCATGAGTCACAATTACTGCTGTAAAGAGTGCAAATGTTACTCAAACATTTCCAAGGGGTGTGGGGCATATAAAAGGTTGGGAACCACTGTTTTACAGGAATAGACCTAGAGACATTACAATTACTATGGGGTAGATTTCTTTGGAAAGACTTGTGTGATACCTGCTATAGTTCTAAACTGTGTGGGCTTTACAGCTAGGTACCAATTTCCACACTGATTTTATATGTAAATACACATCAAACAGAATCCTTTTAAAAGTATGCCATTAACAGATGCTTTGTTAATAATTCTGCTACATCAAAAAGACTAGTATGTTAATTTTGGTATCACATAGTACATCAATCTGCAGCCACATAGGGTCAGGCTGTTTAACTATTTTAGTAAACAAGATAGCTAAACACATCAGGCTCATCCATCTGCATCCAACATCTTTGGAAACAAGGAAAACAAGAGAGGGCAAATAACCTAATTTCTCAATTTTAACTATTTCAGAACCAGTCAAGGCTAAATTCAAAATATGGTAACAATTTGTGTCATGTTCTGAGATTAATAATTGATATTTTTAATCAGATGATTCAAATTATAGTGGTTTATAATTGTCATAAAATTCCTGTTTTCAGAAGACAAGGCATTGTATGCAAAGAGAGAATGTTCGGCCTTAACTTACTAACATTTGATTACCAAAAGCAAAGCAATGAAACTTGCCTCCCAGGAGCAATAAAGCTGCTACAATAGACAATTACAGTACATTCAAACAATCTTATTCACTTTTCAATCGCCTGAATTATTTTACTCACTGTATTTTCCCACTGCTTTTTCTTTTACAGTCTTCTTTGAAGATTTTTTATGTAAGGTCTCTTTAGAAATTTCATCACAATTCTTTTGCTTTGGGGGCGCTACTGCACGGTCTTGTGGAGATTCAGCTGCCTTTTTCCCTTTTATATCCTTTTTAAATGATTTGTCTTTTTGATCACTTTTTAAAATATCTGACTGTGAGACAGATGAAACTTCATCTGCCTGCTTGCTTGTTTGCCTACCAACTGAAGACTTTGTGGAGCTTTTTTCCCCTTTAGATTTGACCTTTTTCTGATTTGCTTTCTTTTCAGTCTGCTGACTATCAGTCTCTGAAATATCAGAATCTGAATCAGAAAGATCATAAAAACGTTTCAGATCCTCCGTAGAGGTACGATTAATTGGTCGACCTCGCTTATCCACAGTATATTTCAACTTGAATTTTTTGTCATGAAACATAGCCCGAAATCTTGAATCAATTTTGATCTTGCGGTCCTTTTCTGGCATTTCCCAAAACCGCGGATCTTTTGTGATGCGAGAAAACCGCTTATCACTCGTGAGTTCCTTCTTAGATGCCATTCTTGCTTTTTTACAAAATGCAACAAACCTGAACCTGAAAATAAAGAAAAAAATTATTATTGGATCATAAAATAAGACTGTCTTCTAAAATTAAAGGTATAAATGATAAAGTAGATTTTCAGAGAAGCATATTGTAAATAGGAAATCACATTCAATCCTCCTCCTTCCACTCTAATGTTCAACATTCTGTAAAATGGTAGTAGTTTAATTTAGACATCATCACAATGTATATGAATATAAATTGATCCACTTCCCCCAGGAAATGGGACAGATGTTGCCCTTAGAGCCATCCAACATTTTTAGGTCTATTAAGGATAACATTAAGTAGTATGTTACATCCATCCACCTATGTTGAGGCAGATAAATTGAAATAACACTGAAAAAGATTTTAAGTTGCTCTGGTTCCATTTATATCCATATCAAACCTAATAGACTTGAATAAATGTGCTATGCATTTATCAATGTGTATGTTACACTTACATCCTTTATTAGAAGATCAAAGCGGTCTACTTAAGATCCTTTCTCATATTACCCTCCACAGATATATTGTGGGGTGGCCAGGACTGGCCAAAGCCAAGCAGTAAATCTTAGAACTGAGATCCTAACCAATAATACACCATGCATGGAAGCAACAGGTACTAGTATATTAAATTGAGAATCTAACAACACAGCAGCTATTCCTCGTTAGCTAACATCAAACAACTACATTTTAATTGATCGTGTTGCGGGAATCAGAGTTCAACCCACTGTTCACTTTACAAAGATTTAGCACAAAAAGTGCAATGCGAAGGGAAATGAAAGTCCGATTATGTGTATCTGAGCCACGAGACAACAAAAAAGGAAAGAAAAACACCCTCGCGTGAATCTCACAACCCCAGCAAAAAGAAAAAAAACTACACTTACTTAATTACTTGTCAATCGCGCTAGTCAACCAATATTTCCAGTCGCCTGTACAGACCCCGCGTTGAGCGCACGGATCGAAAGGACTTCCGTGCGCAGAAAATTTACGTCATTTCCTACGGCGGCTGGAAAGAGACAAAATTACTTTACCGTCGTAAAGGAGGGAGGCGGGGGGAGAAAAGAGGAAGTACTGTCTCCCTGGAAGCTATCAGACCGAACGTGTGTTGATTATTTCACGGAACTACGTTAAAGGACATTTCAGGTCTTACTACTTTGGGTCGTTTTAAAAAGATGGATTTTAATAAAATTCCTCAATCCCTCTATCGTTCTTGGTTTTCATAACACAGATCAATGAAGCACTGGCTGAGCGTAGGTTGTAATTTATCCTTCAGCATTGAATGCTGGAGCAGTGAAAGACTTCAGAGATGTAATTTGATTCCTGTCCATGTATAACAACGGGAGGGGGACACAGAGACATAACACAATAACACTGTCATGCATTTCACAATTTATATCGGAGCTCAGAGGTGCAGTCCCGCAATATTTTAAGTACAATGAGGCTGAAAGAGAAGCCCTTTAAAGCAATCACAACTTAGGTTTCTTAGACTGAATTTGCATTGGGTAACTTGATGCTCAATATGTCATGTAAACAGAGCCAATGAAAACTCTATGTTTCAGGATGTTGCTTAATCCTAGCAATTGGCTTTGTTCAATAGCGACAGTGCATTAAATATGTAAAAAGTCATTTTTTTCCCTTATTCTGTTATAATATTTGTATTATTTCCCCAGGTTGCAAGTCAGCAGAAATTGCAAACTAATATTCTTACTAGATGTCTGGGGGAAGGTTAGTTGGGCGGTTTTGGATATCCTGCAAAAGTAGGCTAGGATTGATTTCACACTACATACTAAATCCTTATTTGTTTACGGTTTATTGAATAAACCAATGGGTTGGTTTTGCACATAAGGGTCTTCAAAACTTGGCAGGTTTAAGACCTGTGGACTTCAACTCCCAGAATTCCTGAGCTAACATGACAGGAGGAGGAATTCTGGGAGTTGAAGTCCACAAGTCTAAAAGCTGTCAAGTCTGAAGACTCCTGCAGGATAAACCCTATCTGTAACTGATACAGGCACCTGTTGTTTTTTTCTCCACTACTGCTTCCCGTTCCTTCCGAATTTTAATCCACTTGCTGCGTCAAGAAAGCTTGTACACTACAGAGCAATCTTGCGCCAACTTCTATTCAAGTACATTGATTTTAGCTTCTTTCTCCTTTTCAAAGGATCATCACGTTGGAATGAAATAGCCTGAATAAAGCCATAAAAAGAAGCCGGTGCGGTGAACTCAGGAGTGAGGGGTTTATTATGCTTTCCTCGCCTGTCTTTTTCAAGCAATTCAAGCAGGGTCTATCTTTACATTTAGAATAGAATAGAATGAGCTGGAAGAGATCTTGGAGGTCTTCTAGTCCAGCCCCCTAAGTTAAGAAACTTCGCCTTCAGATTTATTTAAAAAAACAAAAACAAAAAAACCACGCCTGTTTCCGCTACTGAAATATATGCAATACAAATAAGCCAATCCATCTATTTCAAATAGGTTTGTTTGCCGGCTTCAAGCTCCAAGCTAGTGTGCAGAAGTGACCTGAACTCCACGCAGGCGGATATTGCGAACCCGACAAGCGTTTGTTGCTCTCTCTTTTCTAGCTCTAGCAGCCTTTGCAAAGCGGGCGCCGGCGGAGCAATGGAAGCGAAGGCGTTTCTGCGGGCATCGTGCCTTTGCCGTCTGCAGTCAGCGGCGGCGGCGGCGAGAGGCACATCTGGCGGGCTCTGGTTCCGCCGCCGCTGCCTCTTTCCTTCGGGGCCCGGCGTTGCGGGGTCTCGTCCCGTCACAGGGCCTGGAGCCCTCAGCCCTTTCGACCGGCAGATGAAGAGGAAGCAAAAGAATTGGGCAGCCGGGCAGCCTCACGCGGAGCGCTGCGAGTACCTGCGGGAAGAGGTAGAGGCGAAGGGGCGAGAGGAGAGGAGAGGGCGCTCCCTATTCTTGCTGTGCCTTGGAAAGTATTGAAAATACTTTACGGTTCTGTTGTCAGGGAAAAGCTCCAAGCAATCTAGCCTCCAAATATTGCCGAGATTGCATTCAGTGCCTTTTTAAAAAAGCCACCCAATATTGTTATGATCCTTCGGGCAATAACGAATACATTATACTTTAAGGCATATCTTGAAAACCTTATAAGGGGTGATTAAGTTGCTGGGGATATACGTGGAGCCTGAGCAAACCTTTTAGCCTATTTTGATTTTGTATTGTCTTTTAGCCAATTTTCTTTTTCTTTTTGGTCTGTATATATCTTTCTTAACTATTCTGACATTATCGATTTAGTTTGGGACATTTTGAACATTTGATTACAAATTATCTTTAATCAGCCCCCATAAAGTTATGTTAATGGTTGGGGTTAGATTCAAGGTCGTTTTGATTTTGACCTTACTTGGATGATTGAGATGTACATGAGATGTGAAAACTTTCGAACTGCTAAAGCAACTCTTCAGTTTTGTGTAACCTTAATTTTTTTTTTTTTAAGCAGCCAGTGTCAGACACAGATAGTCCTTGAGTTACACACATTTGTTTAATGACCATTCAAAGTTACAGTCATTGAAAAAGGTGATTTATGATGTGACCGTTGCACCATTCTGACAGTCATGTAATTAAAATTCAGGAGCTGGGCAATGCCATGTATTTATGATTCATTTAACGACCAAGTCAAAATAGTAAAATTGGGCACAACTCAACTGCCTTGCTTAGCAAAGAAAGACTTGTCCCCATTGTGGATGTAAGGCAAGAATTACTTACAGTTGGTTAAGGCACCAGGCTAGAAACCTGGAGACTTTGACTTCTATTGCTGTTTTAGGCACAAGGCCAGCTGGCTAACGTTGAGCCAGTCATTCACGCTCAGCCCTAGGAAAGAGACAAGGGCAAACCACTTCTGAAAAGCCTTGCCAAGAAAACTACAGGCAATTGCCATGAGTCAACACTAGCTCAGAGTATTTTTTTTATTTTAAATTTTATTGAACAAACAAACACAAACAAAAACAAAAAGAAACATTAAAAACATTGAACATGGTACAATCCTCCTAACCCACATATTGTGTCTTACATTGCTAAATCACATATAAAAATAATACATGTTTGCATTCTATTATGTGTGTGTGTGTGTGTGTGTGTGTGTGTGTATGATAATTTCTTATTTGTCTTGATCCTTTCTTTTTTCAAACCAACCATGAAACTATCCCGTACTTTATAATAATCCGATTCATCCTTATTTTTTAATTCCTTTGTCAATTTGTCCATTTCTGCGCACAACCAGATTTTCCTAATTATTTCTAATTCACATGGAGTTTCTTTACCTTTCCATTGTTGTGCATAAGCCAATCTCACGGCTGTAATTATATGAATTATTATAGGAATACACTAACTCGAAGTATTGATGACACTAAAAAACACGCAATGTCACCAAAAAATAAAAGATACCTTAAAACTAATAATCTGATACCAAAAATGTTTATAAATTGCAGTTTATTTGATTAGATGCTACAATGTGGTCTTCCTTGGTATGTTGTTGAGTAAATTGCAGCCGGATTATTCACATATTGCATTAAAACAAAATTCATGATTTATGATTTAACAGAACTGTGAATTAATACAACATAGTAAGTAGAGTGGTACCTTAGTACACATTGTTAAGTGGTTCTGGGAGCCGTGATGAGTACCAAAAATGATGAGTACCAAACAAATTTTCCCCATAAAGAATAATGTAGTGAGTCACAAGGTAGCCAACACTGACAAGTTCTAGTTTGTGTGTTGAATACCAAGCAAACAGAGAGTACTAGGAGAAAATTTTAGTGTCAAAATGTGTTGAGTACCAAATTAGATTAATTTCAAAGCAGTTGAGTACCAAGGTACCACTGCAGTATGGATCATATCCATTATTAGAATTATCAGAACTAGGATGCAATCCTTTTTTGGACCACATGATGGCAGCAAAGAATAGGCAACATTAACTCTAGTGGTCATCTGGATTATTTACAGTGTAGTTCTAATGTAGTGACTTGGCCTGAAGTGTGAATTCTGTAATAGTTTGAACATTTTCCCCAAATCCTATGCTAAATATCAAGATTGCAAAAAAATAGCAACACAGAATATAGAATAACCAAGTTGGAAGGGACCTTGGAGGTCACGTAGTCCACCCTCTGCTCGAGCAGGAGATCCTATACCGACAAAGGGCTACCCAGTATCTTGAAAGCCTCCAGTGCCTATCTTCTTTTTTTTTTCCCCCCCCTGTATTCTAGGTTGGTGGTAGGATGGCCGATCGTGTGTTTGACATAAGCAGGTAAGATTTTATCTCATGTTTTTTTTCCTCTACAAAATGAGGTGTCTTGACTGTATAATATAAATTTTATTTATTTTTATTTTATTTATGTGTATAATGTAAAATTATGCTATTTCGTTTGAAGTTCTTTACATTTGTCAGTATTGAAAAATGAGGACAAGGAAGTTCTGATCTATACAACAGATGTGACTAGGTTGCTCTGTCTTTTTTCTGAACAGAAGTCTAGTCAGATATCCCTTAAACCCCGCCCCTTAAATGGCAGACAAATCTATTTGCGGATATGAGGACAGGAGAGAAAAAATTGTGAACTCTTTAGTATATCTATAATCTTGAAGTATTGTGACCTACAGTGCAATCAGAGCTGTCTGTAAAATAAAAAGATTCTGATTAAACAAACAGCATACAGCACAAATATGAACTGTCTCAAGCTTTTATTGTAAATATTGAGACAATATTTTAAATATTTTATTTTAAAATTATGTGAAATTCTAGGATAATCAGCTCATTTGACTCAGAGTCATATGTTTCAATCGGATGTTGATTTGTGGGGCTTTTCCTATACATTTGCACTAGTGGTGTTACTACCGGTTCTGTGGTGTGGCTTGGTGGGCGTGGCAGGGGAAGGATACTGCAAAATCTCCATTCCCTCCCCACTCCTGGGGGAAGGTTACTG